CATCTTCTTTATCCAGTCACCTGTTGATGGACATTTAGGCTGTTCCCATGTTTTGGCTATTGTAAATAGCATTTGCACCTATTTTCTTCCATTCCATAGGTTGTCTTTTTGTTTTGCTTATGGTTTTCTTTGCTGTGCAAAAGCTGTTAAGTTTAATTAGGTCCCATTTGTTTCTTTTTGCTTTTATTTCCATTACTCCAGGAGCTGGTTTGAAGAACAAATATTGCTGATTTACATCAACAATGTTCTGCCTATGTTTTCCTCTACAAGTTTTATAGTATCCAGTCTTACATTTATGTCTTGAATCCATTTTCAGTTTATTTTTATATATGATGTTAAAGAATGTTCTAATTTTATTGTTTACACATTACATTCCAGTTTTCCCAACACTACTTCTTGAAGAGACTGTCTTTTCTCCATTGTATATTCTTGCTTCCTTTGTCATAGATTAATTAACCCTAAATATCTGAGTTTATTACTGGACTTCCTATCCTGTTCCATTGATCTAAGTATACATTTTTTGCCAGCACCATGCTGCTTTGATTACTGTTTCTTTGTAGTATAGTCTGAAATCAGGGAGCATAGTTCCCCCAGCTCCATTCTTCTTTCTTAAGATTGGTTTGGCTGTTTGGAGTCTTTTGTGTTTCCATACAAATTTTAACATTTTTTTGTTCCAGTTCTGTGAAAAATGTCATGGGTAGTTTGATAGGGATTGCATTAAATCTGTATATTGTCTTGGGTAGTATGGCCATTTTAACAATATTCATTCTTCCAATCCAAGAACACAGTATATCTTTCTGCTTGTGTCATCTTCAGTTTCTTTCATCAGTGTCTTACAGTTTTTAGGGTACAGATCCTTTGCCTCCTTAGGTAGATTTAGTCCTAGCTATTTTATTCTTTGATGCAATGGTAAATGAGACTGTTCACTTAATCTCTTTTTCTGATATTTCATTGTTAGTGTGTAGAAATGCAACTGATTCCTGTATATTAATGTTTTGTCCTGCAACTTAACTGAGCTCTGGTAGTCTTCTGGTAGCATCTGTAGGATTTTCTCTGTATAGTATCATATCTTCTGCAAATAGTGACAATTTTACTTCTTTTCCAATTTGGATTCTTTTTATTTCTTTTTCTTCTCTGATTACTGTGGCTAGGACTTCCAAAACTATGTTGAATAAAAGTGGCGAGAGTAGGCATCCTTGTGTTCCTGATCTTAGAGGAAATGCTTTCAGCTATTCCCCATTAAGTATGATGTTAATTATAGGTTTGTCATATATGGACTTTATTATGTTGATATATGTTCCTCTATGCCCACATTCTGGAGAGTTTTTATTATAAATACATTTTGAATTTTATCAAAAGTTTTTCTGCATCTATTGAGATGATCATATGATTTTTATTCTTCAATTTGTTAATGTGATATATCATACTGATTGATTTGCAGATATTGAAAAATCCTTGTATCCCTGGGATAAATCCTACCTGATCGTGGTG